ATCAAGTACTGGAAGATCCCTTCTCTGATGACATCACCCTTCTGATTTGCAGGTGGCAAGTGGTCTCTGCTGTGTTCTCACATGGCAGGGTACAGAGAAGGCAAGCCCTGTGTCTCTTCTTATAGAGGCATTAGTCACATCATGTGGGCTCCCCTCTCATGAGTTAATAACTTTCCAAAGGCCCAGCCTCTTTCTAGGACATCAGGGGTTAGGGTTTCACCAAGTAAGTTGGAGGGAGTGGGACACAGTCAGTCTATAACACTAAGTAATTGAAACTTCAGCAGATGAATGGTAAGATTTAGGCTTTATTCCCCTTCAGAGGCTAGATGGGAAAACCAAATTTCCTGGCACTGGGAAGAATCCAGGGTACTCTGATTTCCTGACACAATCATGGTCTCCTTTGGAACAAAATAGCCAGGATCAGACCATGGCACTCAATGCCGAAATCCATACTATTGGATCTGAAGACTCAGGCTTATAGGTACAGATAGCAAGCCAACAGCAAGCCAATAGCAAGCAGAATGAGACAACCCTCACTACTGGGTCAAGAGGAACAATCAGATGCTTTGCAATAAATCTAACTAACAGTGGGTACTAAGTGGCATCATCTGATATATAGAGAGGCAGAAGCTGTGAAAGATTGTTCGAGAGATGGGTGGCCATACATGAGGTCAAAAAGGGCCTAGGAACCCTTATTGAAAGGAAACTGGGGAACTGTGTTTTGGTGTAGCAGGTTAAGCCTCCACCTGCAATGCAGGCATCCCATATGGGCACCAGTTCGAATACCGACTGATCCACTTCTGATCCAGCTCTCTGCTAATGCTCCTGGGAAAGCAGTGGAAGGTAGCCCAAGTTCTTGGGCCCCTGCACCCATATAGGAGACTTGAAAAAGCTCCTGGCTCCTGGCGTCAGCCTGGCCTAGCTCCAGCCATTGCAGCCATTTTGGGTGCAGATGGAAGATCTCTTTCTCTGTCTCTCCGTCTCTCTCTCTGTAACTCTAGCTTTCAAATTCATAAAATGAAAAAAAAAAATTTAAAAAGGAAACTGGGTCTAGGGAGCCAGAACCCTGGTAGCCTCTCCTCACTTATGCCCATAGCACCTTCTCTCAGGTCCACTTGTGTAAACTCTGCTGCCTTTCTTGCTACCCTAGAACTGTCTATCTCCCATTATTATTGGTTGTTTGCAGCACAGAGCATGTCATGTTGTCCAAGTGCCACCCAAAACACCCAGACTCACTCTTCCTCATCCAAGCTTGATCTGTCTGTCCTCACCCCCAAGGTTATTAAACTGGCAAAGAAACATGAAAATTGGCATTCTTGAATGGTTCTTCACTCTGGGCAGGAAAAGAGAGGACTATTTTCATGGTTGAAGTGTTCCAACAAATTCAGAGAAAAATACCACATGAAGTCAAAATATCGTCCTCCTGGCCAAGCAAGGGCTCTCCTTTATAATCATGCTGACATGCAAGGTTTCACAGCCTCACTGCTCCCCTGGTGTCAGTGGCATTGCCTGCTCTCTGCAGCTTGAAGTTGTCAATGCAGCAGAGGTAGGGGAAGAATTTAATCTGTGGGAGGTGGTGGAAAGAAGAGAGTCCCTGGGAGAATTTAAACTGTGTAGTATGAAGGAAGGTAAGATATCCAGTCTAGGAAAGGTACAAAAGGGAGCTTTATGACAGTGACAAGAATCGCAAAGCTTTCATTGAAAATATACTTAGGACAACATTTTTAAATAGCATCTTCTTCATGAGACAGAAGCTGTATACTAAAGAGTACACAATGTGTGATTTCATTTGCATCAAGTTCAAGAGCAGGCCAATGAGGGTCAGAAGTGTGTTGTGGGAGTGGGAGGATTTTATCCAAGAAGAAACACAAGGGGGTCTTCCGAGGGTTTGAGAATGTCCTCGCTCTTGGCTTGAGGCACGGCTGTGCAGCTGAATTCCTGTGTGAACACTTCCTGAGCAATACACTAAGATCTGGGTCCTTTTCTCTATGTAATTTATTACTCAAGACAAAAATTGTGGTAACTCCTCTGTTCTGCCACATTTACAAATGTGGCATCAAGTCCAAGGGTGTCTGGGGTGCTCAGGGGGAAAAGGTGCTGTTAGTGGTCAGAGTGGTCCACAGATAAAGTAGGAACAGCCAGAGCCCAGCACAGCAGGAGGACCATGGGCTTTTGAGGCAAGTAGATCCAAGTCCATGTCCTGCCTACAGGTGTGACTGTGGAGATTTGAACAAACTATTTTTTCTTGATGCTCAATTTTCTTCTCTAAAATGCTGCCATTATGTGTTGTTTGATGGACCCAATAATATAATCTATGTAGGTATCTTGCCAAACACCAGAAATGTAGATCAAAAGAGGTGTTTATCATTGATGGTAGGTCCCTGTCCACATAGATTATAATACCAAGAAATTCTAGTCAAAAACAAGATTTGTATCCTAAGACGTCCCTGGAAATAGAAATATGACTAAATTTTTTTGACAGGCAGAGTGGACTGTGAGAGAGAGAGACAGAGAGAAAGGTCTTCCTTTTGCCGTTGGTTCACCCTCCAATGGCCGCCACGGCTGGCGCGCTGCGGCCGGCGCACCGTGCTGATCGATGGCAGGAGCCAGGTACTTATCCTGGTCTCCCATGGGGTGCAGGGCCCAAGCACTTGGGCCATCCTCCACTGCACTCCCTGGCCACAGCAGAGAGCTGGCCTGGAAGAGGGGCAACCGGGACAGAATCCGGCGCCCTGACCGGGACTAGAACCTGGTGTGCCGGCGCCGCAAGGCGGAGGATTAGCCTAGTGAGCTGCGGCGCCGGCCCTCTAAATTGGTTTTTAGTAATAAACAAAACACTTATGTCTAGGTATATATTATTAAATATGTTAAACTATGAGACCATTTTATTATGAAAATTATTTTAAATTAAATACATTCTAAGTAAAGGCAGAGAGACAGATAGAGATCTTTCATCTGCTGATTCACTCCTCAGATGCTTGCAACAGCTAAGACTGGGCTAGCCCACAGCCAGGAGCCTGGAACTCAATCCAAATCTTCCATATGGGAGACAGGGATACAAAGACTTGGGCCATCACTTGCTGCCTCCCAGAGTAGGCATTAGTGAGCAACTGAAATTGGAAGTAGAGCCAGGACTCAAACTCAGGCACTCAAATATGTGATGCAGATATCCAAAGGGGTATATTAACCACTGCACCAGGTGCCCACCTCTGGTATATTTTAGTTTGTGGGAATTAAAAAACAAGAATAATAGGCAGCTTCTGCCTTCTAGAAGCTTCCAATCTAACAGGAAAGACAGACACACGCATGTTTTTAAGACCATGCGACATGGGGCATTTTGCAACAGTCAAAGTCAGCTTGCCACGGATGGTGGACATATTTAAATTTAAAAAATACATTGTGACTTTGGAAAATTGCAATTTAAGGTCATTGTGTAGTTAAGAGTCAGTGGCTAAAGGGTTATTCACGTTTTAGAGTCACAGGTTTATGTGTGACCAGAAGTATTCTGAAACAGAAGGGGATCTATTAAAAGAGTCACGTGGAAAGTGCCTTCAGACTGCAGTGAGTCAGAAGGGGAGTGGCATGGCATTCACAATAGCAAGAACCCTGGTTCTGTTGACTCCTGTCCACCTCCAGGGCCGTCTCTGGCTGGGACCACGGCTGTGCATGAGGAAGAGCGGGGCTTCCAGGCAGCACTGAGTCATGTCTTCTTGTGAGACTCTAGGGAAAGGTAGGGGCTCTTTCCAAGGAAAGAGGGACTTGTAAACAAAACAATTGCAGCGATCTTGGAGAGATGGCTGTTCTAAAGCTTAGGCTGAGTCTGTATCTTCAAACAAGATCATATCACTACACCTTCTCCCCTTTCTGGAGAACATACATCAGCAACTGCATCAGTTATATCACCCTATCAACACTGGCAGTCCTCAGATCACAGCTGATTCATCCCGTGAGTGTGAGATAATCTCTTCTGTGCTTCATTCTACCTGGCATTTCCCAGTGTACCAGGTGTGAGACTTACTTCTTCAAGATGAAAATCTCAATTAAAACTTGACTATGGGCAACCTAGATACTGCACTGTTTATCAAACTTTTTTAGAGTATTACATAAAATATTACTATCTAACTCCTACTACTACCACTGCTAATACATGAATATTACTATTTTTAATAGAAATCTCACTATTTAAAAAGATTTATTTATTTGGGGATGGCGCTATGGCATAGTAGGCAAAGCCTCTGCTTGCAATGCCAGCATCACATATGGGTGCTGATTTGTGTCCTGGATATTCCACTTCTGATCCAACCCTCTGCTGATGGCCTGGGAAAGCAGTAGAAGATGGCCCAAGTGTTTTGGCCCCTGGACCTACATGGGAGAATTGGAGGAAGCTCCTGGCTCCTGGCTTCAGATTGGCCTAGCCCCATCCGTCGATGCCGTCTGGCAAGTAAACCAGTGGATAGATGACCTTTCTCTCTGTCTGTGACTCTGCCTCTCAAATAAATAAAAAAATATTTTTATAAGATTTATTTATTTGAAAGGCAGCAAGACAGAGAAAGAAATCTGTCATCTACTGCTTCAGTCCCCAAGTGGTCATAACGTCTAGTGCTATGCCAGGTCAAAGCCAGGAGCCAGGAACTCCATCTTGGTTTCCCACATGGGTGGTAGAAGCTAAGCACTTGGTGCATCTTCCGCTGCTTTCCCAAGAACATTAGCAGTGAATTGGATCAGAAGCAGAGCAGCCCGGACTCACACCGTTACTCTGCTGTGGGATGCCAGCATCACAAGCAATGGCTCAAGCCAGTGTGCCACAGCGCTAACCATTGAACACTATCAGTTTTAATTTTGTAACTTAGACATCAGAATGAGATGGTGGGATGGTGGGTAACAAGAACCATGTGCCTCTGCCTGTCCTTTAGTCCTCATCACATATAGCTGAGGATCCTGTCTTTCTCACAGCCTTCGTGTGAGGGTCTGATGAGCAGTTTTGTTTCCTGTCTCATCAGCAAGTTCCTGAAGATACAGTGCCTGGAAGGTGGAGTCTGGGAGCAAGGAAGCTGCATCCCAGTGGTGTGTGAGCCGCCTTCTCCCGTCTTTGAAGGCATGTATGAATGTACCAATGGCTTCAAGCTGGACAGCCAGTGTGTGCTCAACTGTAACCAGGAAGCTGAGAGGGTAAGGACCGCTTCTTGAACTCTGTTTGGAATCAGGCTGTCTCTAATCATAAGGGTCCCTACCAGATTGTTGAGTAGAAATGGTCTGCAAGAGTCCTATCACACAAGACATTACTCAGCTGGGATTCCAACCAGAGGTATTGATATCATTTGAAAGGGAATTCAGAAGATGCAATGATTTCGGACCATTCTCTCCCATTTTCAGGACTTCCTCTGGAATGAGAAGAAAAACCCAAAGGGTAGGGTACCTGGGCATATGCTAAAAAAAAAAAAAAATGGGATCCTGATTTGGCAATGTGATCTGCTTTCATGCATGCCACTGACCTAACTTGGATAAGAATGATAGTTTTTTTTATTTTATTTTTTTTTTTTAGTAGTAGAACAGAATCCTGAACAGAAACACAAATTCCTCAGCAAAGCTGAAAGTGTTGTTTGACTATTATCCTCCCCAGGATTTTGGCTCAAGAGGTCTCAAATGGAAACCACAGTCTTATCGTGGCTGTGTGACTAACATCAATTTTGTTTTAGAATACTTGTATGCACCACACACACACATGAGACAGGAAGTCAGGCAGACTTCCTGGGCAAAGATCAATGACCTCAAGTGCTCCTTTGGCACATTATTTTTAGCCCAGTGCCAACACTCAAAGGTGAGCCCCACAGAACATGTGTGAAAAAAAATGCCATAAAATGAGACCCCTGAGAAATCAAACACATCTGTTGGCACTGATGGGTTAAGGAATGAAGAATTGGCCAGATGAAGGGAGAATTGTCTACCTCTCTAAAATCTTACTGTTTGGATTTTATTAGAAGTGCTAACTTCTGTGTTCTAGACAGGGCATTTTTTCAGACTATTTGGGGTATAAAGCCAAGAGTTACACAAATGAACACACATGTGAAGAAAGGGAGAGGACTTTGGCGAGATCAAAGTAACTATAATGTGTCCATTCAAGCAGAAAACCAAAAATACACCTTTAGGAAAATTATGATTTGGTTACATTGGATGAAATTCATCTTGAAAAAATATCTGACATTTGCCACAAGCAGCATTTGTGTGATAGTGTGGATGAATCAATGAAAAACAACGCCATCTGGGAAAAAATTCCAAAAATAGCTCAGAATACATGGGCTGTGGTTAGTAGCGAAGCATGCCCCTTATATCCGAAGGAGAATACATTGCTGATGAGTTTCATCAATGACAAGATTATTCATGATTCCTTGTGATGGAAACAGCAAAGAAGTATCTTAGTGTGTGTACATGCACATGTGTGCCAATTAAAACATACTTTATTGTTTCAAGAGTGTCCTTTAGTCTGGGATCTAGAAGTCAGGGACAGTCTGATTTAAACAGCTCACCTTTGTTCCTACTCTAAATGAAGCTAACAAGATAGTAACGTGGAGATGTTCTCTTTCTTGGTATTCCAGTCTCCTATCCTCTGCACTACAGAGGGACTGTGGACCCAGGAGTTCAAGCTGTGTGAGAACCTGGGAGGAGAATGCCCACCGCCTCCCTCCGAGCTGAATCTCGTGGAGTACAAGTGTGAACAGGGATACGGGATTGGTAAGGAGGTTGTGAAGTCTGTTCCCAGGTCATCCCTTTATTGAGCCCAACTGCATCTTGAATCAGAGACACTCTTTTCCCAGACGAGAAGATAGAAATACAAGTTGACTCTTAGCTGCTTTGGTGAAAATGAAATTCATAGCAGAATTATTCTTTTTGGTCTCCCGCATGTGTGTAACGTTGGTACAACTGCTAAGCCACTTGCATCACGTCTGGTCATGTCACCCGCTCCACTTCAGGGCTGTGAGTTGATGGATCTGTCGTTCCAAAAGGAAAGGAGGGCATGTGTGGCCACACACCACCGTGTACTCAGCTCCCCTTCTCCTTGTGGCTGTTACTGGAGCAGAGAGTTCCTGAAAGAGACAATTGGAGACTGCCTCACTGCTTCTTTCTCTGCAGGGGACTAGGCTCCAGAACAACTTCTTACTCGTGTTGTTGCCATGACCAGAGCTGATTTATGGTGGTGTTAGCTCACTTTTGCCCTGGCTCACCCTAAGCATCCTAGACAAGGGTTGTAACTTCTGTGCAACTTCATGAGCTTACTCGTGACTAAGTGCTGCACCACACAGGCGAGGCGTAAACGGACGGATCATTCTGTGCAATGCCAGAGTGTGAGTGGAGCTATTTAGAAACCTCATGTATTTCTTAAATGGATCCCTACCATCTACAAGGTACTCTTTGTACTGTGCCTCGTGGTCAGGCATGGACTCTTCAGAGCTCAGATTTGATTTGCCTCTTGAGCCCCATCCTCCAAGCCCCTAATTTCTGCAGTGAGATAACGTATAGTCTCATACACATAGATATAAATACATAGTCCTTAAGAGTTACATAGTTGCTTTGAATACAATAAACATTACTGGGAAACACAGAAGCATAGTGAGAGCTGAAAATCTTGGATATTATCAGACCTGTAGATGAGGAAATAGAGAACCTGAGAATGTATTTTCTTTGACTAGAATTCTGTGAGACATGTTCTCAGGGAATGCCCCAAGATTCCCCTTCAAGAAGCCAACATGTGGCCGAAGTCTGCTTCTGATTTTCCACTGCCTCCTGCTTTAGTCACACAGGTCTCTTGGTTGCCAATAGAATGACCTGTATTCAGTGCGGCAACACGCAGGATATTCCTTAGGGTATTTTGTAGGCCATTTCCCCTCAGCTAGTCACGTTCTTGGGTAATGGTTGCTGCAACCATAAGCTTCTAAGAGACCTTGTAAGCAGAAGTGACATTAAAGATGCTTCAAAGGCATCGATCAATCGTGATAGACATTGCAAATCAACTGGATCAGGATCTAATCTTTAAATTGCTGGAGCACCCAGAGATTTAGGCATCCCGAAGGAGAGGTTATACTGGATAACACAAGAGAGAGAGCACTTGGAGCAAGAGGAGTTAGTAAAGAGCCACTTGGGGCAGTGCTCTTTACTAGTCATTGTCAAAGTCTCCCCACGGTACAGGACAGATGAGTATGGACCTGCCTAGGACCCTCGTAACAGGACGTCTGGTGATGTCGAAAGCTCTTGGCAAATCAGAGCTTTTGGTTCCAGAGTGAAAAAGCCTGACGTCCAGGCAGTTCAAGCTCCTGCTGTGAATGTCTGTCCTTGCAGGTGCAGAGTGCTCCCCCTTGTGTATGATCCCCCCTAGTGACCCCGTGCTGCTGCCCGAGAATATCACCACCGACACGCTGGAGCACTGGATGCAACCCGTCAGAGTCCAGGTGAGAAACGGCACACAGCCAGGGGAAAGCTCAGCACAGGAGGCCAGGGGAGGCTCAGAGGCCTAAGGAGTAGGAAGGAAAACGAGGGAGGGAAAGTGCTACCAATGAAAAACAGGGCAAGAGAAGTTAGGTTAGGCTGAAGAAAGTATGAAGATGAAAGAAGGATGCAAGGATGGGTTTTGAAGATCACAACAGAACTGAAAACAGAGCAGAGTCAAAGGACTGAGACTGCCTTTTCCCTGAGTTGTGTCCACCTCTCTTCCTTCTCAACCCTGAATCCTTTCCCTGCACCCTCTGCTATGCAGTCAGTCACCATCGAAGTCCACTGCACGCACAGCCCCTTCCCTGGGCTTTCCATTGGCTCACTTTCCAACTGAAACCTGCCCCCCCCCACCCCGAGGGCTCTGCCTCCCCAGAGGACGCACCGGTCTCTGCTTTCTGTCTCCTACCCACCACGCCTGGGACTGCAAGAGGGGTAGGTGTCCTGTTCCCTTCTGCCTCTTCCAGACTGTCCTCCTCCCCACCCTCCCCCAAATATCACCACTCCTCAAATCTAATAAACCGTTCACTGCTCTCATCACTGCCTGGTAGTGTTCTCAAAGTGCTACAGAGCAATTTCTGGGAGTGTATGTCGAGTAAGGATGAGTATTTTAAGGCGTCTCTGCTCTAACATCAGCCCCACCCCTACTTCCCAAGCACTTCGGGGTCATTGACCCTTCCCCCAGCACTCCTGCTGGACCACCCTTGGATTCCTGCATCCACGCCTTAGATTCCTTCAGGACCCGGACTCTCAGTCCCATGCCGCCTTCACTGGTCTTGCTCCGTCTGCCACCTTCTCTCCTGGGTTGTTTCCTGAACACGCCAGGTTGCTTCCTCCCCAGCACCTGTGCCGGGCACCTGTCTGGCTGCAGTGCTCCTCTCTGAGTTAGCTCCATGCATGAGTCCTTTGCTTTTCTCAGATTTTTATTCAGGTCTCAGAAAGTTCCTCTTTGGGCATTGTATCTAAAATTTTAACTTCCTGAACACTTTGTCTCCCTTTCTTCCTTTATTTTTTCTCTGTAGGACTTATAATTGCCAAATATTGCCAAATATCTTCTTTTAATTATTTAGCTCTTAAGCTGTATCTCCCTGCCACTAGAATTCGAGGTTAATGAGGGATTCTTGTCTATTTTGTTCACTGTCACATCATCAGATCCTAAAGTGATGATTAGTAGATTGTAAGTGATAAAATGCCCAAGTAATAAAGAGGTAGGAAAGACTACACAAGAGCTAAATGGAGAAGTCTGATTGTAAGTTAGTTCTTTCTTATTAGCATAGGGAGCAGGAGTGTCTCATAGCCTGGGAGCCTGGTTGCTTTATCAGACTGTGTAACAAAATCCTTACACGGCTTTTCCCATGGAATCACCAACAGATGGATTCTGGAGAGACCACATTTCATTCAGAAATCATGCCCATGTAGCCTCTTTTTTCTCACAGGCTGACATAATCCACAGGGACTCGTACAAAAGCTGGAGGTTCAGGAATAAAGTTCTGAAAGTATTATTAGGATTGAAGGACAGGTCTAGCACAACCCTATTAATCCAGTTATCATTCAGCAAATGGTTATTGAGGGTTACTCACTATGAGCCTTGAAATTGGGCTAAGTGCATGAATATGTAGTTAAAGAGGACAGTGCCTCCATGGAAGGCAGCCATTGTCTGGCTATAAAAGATAGACATTTATAATAAGACACAGGGAAATGTCTGGTTTTGGTAGAAATGCTAAGGGATCACCCATGAGGACACAACCAACCCTTCTGCTCAGGAGCCTGCTGGAGCTTGCGACTGACCAAAAGGGTTTTCCTCTGGGTCACTGACTGTGGTCAACAGGGATGTTCTAGAGGGTGGGGACAGGTGGGAAGTCCCATGTGACTGAAACCAGGGCACGTGTGGCAGTGAGAATGGGCGGTGGTTGTGGGTGGTAGAAGCATGAAGTTACAAACGGGCAGATTAGTGAGATCCCACAGTCACTGCATGCCCCCTCTGAGGACAGCAAATTTATGAGAACTGCTGGGGTGAAGATGAGGCATACAGGTGAGGGCAGGGTGAGCACTGGATTGGAACAACAAGGAGAAATCCAGAGAAACACCTCAGCCCGTTCACCCATTCCCAGGCATTCCAGACTTCTGAGTCCCACCCTGTACAGTGGATTGCTAAAGTTCTGCTAGAGAGCAGTAGTTAGAGTCCTCTTGAGTGGTGCCTGCTGGTTTGTGAAGCGCCATATGATCTAGACTCTTCCTTTGGGCCCTGTCAAGTCAGCGGCGATGATAAAAGACGCCTTTCTCTAAGCAGTCAGAAAAACCAAAGCTCGGACCAGTCAGCGCCTTTTCTTCCTCTTGGGACATAACTGCTGCAGGCATCTTTCTGCATCTCCTTCGCTGTCTACCCCACAGAGCGTTTGAAGGGAGCATTCACTAGATGCAGGGCGGATGATAGCCAAGTACACACCCTCCAGTGAGTGGGGATACTGCCACGTCTGCTTTCCCAGTGGGATGTCCAGGAGAGAATAGTTCATCTGTGCTCATGGAGATGCCACAGACACCAATGAAAGAGACTTGCTCATTTCCACCCTGGGAAACTATTGGCTTTATTTTATGAAAGCCTTACTTTTTTCAACTATATTTTAGGGGAAGCATTACTGCTTTTTAATTTCTATTGCATAGTATGTTGTTCATGCTTGTATTCCTAATATCTTTTTCAATGCCTGGAAAACATTGTAAGTGTCTCATAAACATGGGTTGAATGAGCAAAGAAATAGTTTGCAGTGCCCTCTCCTAAGATTGGGTGCATTTCAGCAGCTTCTTACTACTGTGGGCAATTTTTCAAAAGAAAAGCTCCATTTTAACTCACTAGCTTGATTATTTGAGAACCACATAACCATGCATTATCCACTCTACAGTCCCGTGTCTCCTTTGCACCATGTATCAAGGCAGTGGTTAGGGAGTTAATACCTACCTCATTGGGTTCGTATCAGTATCAGATGCAAGACAGCTGGGTAGAACTCAGCTTCTGTGAGTTCAGCTGTGGCTGCCTCGTCTCATCCGCAGTGAAACAGCCCTGCCCATGTGTATGGTGGTGGGAGTGGGTATACAGCTAAACTATGTAGCCAGTCACAATTTGCAGCATTGTTAGGGGCACAACTGCTTTTGTGGAGCTCTTTAAATTTGTGTCATATTTCTATGTGAAAACAAAGTGAAGTCACTAAATTAGCCAATTCAATGCTTTAGGGGAAGTAGTGAGGTAACACACATTGAGCCTCATGCTTACCTTACGTACCATAAATATATACAATTGTTATGTGTTGATTAAAAATAGCATAAAACTTAGAAGAGTAATTTGTTCCTGTAAAAAAAAAACAGCAGTCAGAAATTCATAAGTTGAAAACATAATTAGACACATGGCTATGTTTTCCTAAACTCCCAAATCAATATCCTATATGCCAAGAAGAGACCAAGTGTTAATCCAATAGTTAGCACTAATTATGATGGAGGAGCAAAACCAGCTGTTACCTGTGCATTGGGAGTTCTTTCATAGCGATTGTATTAGGAATTATTGCCTACACACAAAGCTTGCAAGGGGTGCTGAGAAAGTTGCAACTTTACTGTAAGAGAAAAACAGCAGAAAGAATCCAAAGAATTCCATAGAAATGACAGTGAAATTGGTGTCCTGATGCTCCTAAGGTCCTCTGAGATGATCTCATGGTGTCTGTCCTTTGAGGCACTTGTGGCTCATGAAGGATGCAAAATCTAATCTTGTCCTCATAAATAATAAGAAATACCTCATAGGCCAGAGCAATTTTGTTAGATGAAACTCTACTTTGAGTAATATCCTACTAACTCAAGTTGACTTATCTTTGGGATTGTTTCATATCGTACTTAATCCTAAATCTCCTTGTTCTTAAAAATCACTTGGGCCATATATAAAAGGAACAGCTTGGATTCAACCCGTCAGAGAAAGGCTGCAGATGCCTTGGAATACATATCTTTAACAAATTCTCCAAGAAATTCCACTGTACAGCTTTGAGAAACATGACCATTGTGAAATAAAATACTGGCAAGATAAATATTTTAAGTACAAGCACACCTCTCTGTGGCATGGTTCATTTGTTTTGCAAATGATGTCTGCCTATTTTGTGGAAATCCCTGCGATCTACCATATTTCAAATGCCTTTATATCTGGAAACAGTACAGAACAATGGAATAAATTGCCTCATTTTCTCTAGTCTGCTTCCAATGATTTCATGTTTTGTAAAAAATGATGATATCTTATATTTTGAAAATATTGTCTTCAAAGTCATATATATGAGTATATTCTCACATATGTATATATATGCAATTTCATTTGAATCTCACCACAAAGCAATAAACTAGGAAAAGAAGGTAGTGTTATCTTGATTTTACAGCCACATTGGATGTTTTGAGATGGTTCCTCCAGGACTGAATAGCTGGCAAGAAATAGAGAAAGAAGATCCAGCCAATGTTTCTGACTCTTATGTCCAGCACACCATGAAAGGCTGCCACAGAACACACCAAAACACTGGAGTAAAAAGAAAAGCTTTATTGTCGGGAGCCAACAGGCTGTCTCTCCGTGCACAGTTAGATAACAGGTTTATGATAGCTTTGCAGAGAGAAGGAAGTGGGAGCAGCAGATTCCGTGAAGGTAGGGGGAGGAGTTAACACTTGCGGTTGGGTCATCTGGACATTACCTGATTTTTGGACAACCAGGCCCAATTTCAGGAAACTGAAACCTATCTCTAAGCAACTGATACTTATGTTGCAAGATGATGCCTAGGCCAAAACTTACCTTGCAAGATGGCACCTAGGATAAGATGGTATCAGTCTTGCCAATATTCCCCCCTTTTGTTTTTTATAAAGCAAGTGTTGTATGGGACTATATCAGCCCCCCAAAGAAGCCCAGGAGGGGTGCAAGGACATCAGTTAATCTTCTGAAGCTACTTCCTGC